TCCCCTTGGCTCTTCCCACAGCTCCCAGGCCCAGGAGGTGGGCGAGTGCACAGCCTGCAGCAGGAGCAGCTCCCTCCYTCCCTCGGCCTGGCCAGAATCCCAGACGGCTCCAGGAAGAAAGTGAGAAGGATCTGAAACACATCCAATATTCAGCTGCATAGGTAGTGAGACTTGAAGYGAAGCCAGGTGCTGGCAAAAGGACAGCAGGCCTGAGCCTGGCAGACTGAAGTCTCTTCCATGAAAAACAAGGAGCCTGGAGACTCCATTGCTCCCTGCTGCCTTTCTCCCCACTTCGTTTCATTGCTCAGAGAAGAAATATTTTTTTTCCTCCAGACCTAACTACATGTGGGAGTGGAGAGCTGGAAGCGGCCTACAGTGCTTGGGAAAACAGAGCTCTGCACACATTTGTCAAAAACACATGGGTTTGTCCCAAAGGAGCACCTGGATCATAGTAATTGTCTCTTCCCAGTGGGAACAGCCCTCAGAGTCCTGTTAAGGCACCTGGAGCAAAAGGGGAGTCACACACAGAAGCTGCTGCAAGGCTTCAGGAAGCTGCTGCCCACCCCTCACTCAACAACCTCCCACTTCGTCAGTTGTCCTGGCAAGGTAATCTAGTTGGAAAGCAAACACCAAAACAACACAAATTATGCAAAAGTATTGGACCCGATGCTTATCAGAACACCAAGAAGTCGGCACTTATATCTGAACAGTCAGAGATAAGCACACCCTGCYCCCTCCTGCCTTTGATGTCTCACAYGAGCCACTGGCTACCGGAGCCAGGCTGCTGGCAGCTGACCCGGGCTGTTGGCTGCCACCGTTCCACCCTATCCCACACATCCAATTTACAGGTGAAACTTGAGATCAATTGAATTAATGCCACTCCTGGCAATAACCACTAGCAGGGAAACCTTCTAAAGCAGCAAGCACCTTCTAAAACAGTTCTGCTGCTGAACAACTACAGGACTGTAGAGTGGGACAGCGCTGTCCTCTCACTTGTGGCTCTTGGTGAAGGTTACTATTTTGTAAAAAAATGAARTATGAAAGGTTAACAGAGGATTAGAGGTTTTTGACTTGTGAGCACACTGCTCACAAGGAAGGACTACAGCTGAGGAGATATACTCAGTTTTTCATATAAGTGCATTTAACAAAATGAAAATCAGAAAAACAAACAAAAAAAAAATTGAGACTCTCAGCACTGTGACAGTGCAACACAGAAGCTGCGGACTCCCACCCCTGAAGTGCTCAAGACCAGGCTGGAAGGGGCTCTGAGCAACCTGGTCAAGTGGAAGGTGTCCCTGCCCATGGCARGGGGTTGGAACATGATGGTCATTAACACCCCTTCCAACCTGAATTATTCTGATTTGTAAAAAACAACACTGGCTAATTGGATAAATTCAGAAATACTTGTGGATAGCTTCAGAAAGCATCATATACCAATCCAAGATGAAGATACATTAATTTATTCCACAGACATCTGGATGTAATTTCTGTTGCTTTTTAATTGAAATCCATTTTCTTCAGGGTAAAACACAGCTCAGCTTCAGCCTTGCAGAAAGTAGTAAATGCCGCTATAAATATTCTCTCCTGTGACAGCTATGCCACTCAGCCATGACTTCCTTACCAGCTGAAATGAAATGCCAACTCAGTTCTGCTTTTCAGCTGCAACTTCTCCTGACCAGGAATGTTTTTAGGGAGTTTTAAATTCAGCAATAGTTCGAAGTGTTTGGAGAATGGAATGATTTGCCTACACCCTCCCCACTTGCTTTGAAAGCAGTTTCACTTCTAATGTATTGAAAGACAGTGGATGCAGTTTAAGCTGCTGCTGTACAATCGTTAACACCCAAAATTTTGCAGCTTGAATAGTGTAACACCAGGAGAAATAATCTTTAAAAAGCCATGACCCCCTTTGATTACTTATTTCTCCAATTAAACATGTTCCTTCTGTCAAAAATGAGCTTTCTTGTTTCTGYTGTGGTGGTCTGTAGAGCACTTGCAGGTTCCAACCTCAACCATAACCAAAAGCCTCAATTAAAAGAACCCAAACCAAAACCCCCCAACTCCTAGCCCCAAGTTGTACTTTTAAAATTACACTTTATCAAGTGAACRTGGAGAGGTCAGGGTTATTTCATCTGAAGACATGCCTCACCAGCTCTAAAAAACAGAAGGCAAAGATTCTCTCAAAACCAGCTCAAGATCTAAGAATCTGAAATTTTAGTCTATGTTCTCATTAGATATTTAGAGAGCGGCATCCAACCTAAAGGAAAGGGATAATTTTTKTCAGATTCTTATAAAAAAAGGCTTTATTTTGAACAGGTTTTCTCCATTTGGTTTTACAGTCTCAACATACATCATATTCATGGACAAGCAGCATTTTCACAGAATAATAGCCAAATACAAAGAAGAGGAAGCCACTTGGGTTTAACAGTTTCAACCTAATCGACTCAGGCTTCAGAAAATCCTGTATGCTGTCACTTATTTGAGGTAAAGGAATTCCATAAATTAAGATCCACTGTTCAACAGAAGAGYTAACAATGAAATATTTGAGAAGTAGGTACACCCTGGGGAGGAGGGGGGAAAAAACAAATCTTAAAAGACATGGTGAGCAACAAGAGAAGTGGGAGGTAGGATTTCCACTTGGTTTGTATTGGTGAACCAACACTTGGGTCTATCAAGGGTAAATGTTTAACCAAATTGGCACCGTTTGAATTTCAAATTTGATGAATTTTACTGGTAGCACAGTCTCAAAAAGTGAACCTAACAAGATATGTCATGAGCTTAATTTATATGCTGAATGTTGTCACTAGGCACCCATTAGAGTAACCAGTAAAATCTGCTGCTTTCAGTGCCCATTCCAACATATTCCAGTTRCATGGGTAAATTCTGGGCAGCTGTGCAATCAGACCATAAAATTAATACAGTTAGTGGAATTCAGAATGCCCTCATAAGTAAAACTATATTGGGGGGCAGAGAAAAATCAACCTTTCACTATCTGTTCATGCAAAAATATATCAGCAGTGAAACAGAGGTTAGATAAACAGATTAAAGCCATTGCAGGGATACATTTGTACTTGCTTTAACTATAGAACTAACTTTACAGAGCAAATCTTAAACCTTTTCAATRGTACCCACATTGTATATTAGATCTTGTTTTAAAAAGAAAAGTAAACAAAAGCAATGACTGTTCTGACATTTTGTAGCCTGAGATTTAAATTAGCTCACCAATAATCCTGAATCTCACTGAAGAGAAAAATGGAACTGRAGTAAAATCCTGTAAACTGCAAGAACTAAATTGCCAAGATGAAACTCCTAATGCCCAGCAGAAATTCATTTCAGCTCAGTCATTTAATGCCAGGCGTGGCTCAATTTCTCCCAGTAAAGAAAATGCATCATTTGCTTTATGTACTTACAACAAAACATCATATGGAGATGGGCTTCATTGCTTGAGTGGTATTTCTTCAAAAAGGGTCCTGGCACACCAAGTTACAAAGTCTGGTTGGTCAAACCATCCAGTGGGAATAAAATAAATTCAAATTGAACTGGTGCAAGAATTTAGTTATAAGAAGCAAAGCTGATTAATTTAAAAAAGGTAATTTTTCAATAGTTTTCAATTCCAAGTTTCAGTGAGCAAAATGGTTTCATGCTCATTTTAAAGGCAGAAAGAAGCTGATTTGTTAATCATCTATGTGCTGCATTCATAGCCTATATATCTTCTTTTAAATAATCACCAAGGAGCAGATTTATCACTTAGCAAGTTATCTGACTCAGAAGTAAGGAAGCTCTAGAACATTCTCTCCCCACTGGAAAGCTGTGTTTTATTGCGTAGCTTTGTGTACATTAAGTTGTATCTTGCAGAAATATGATCAATGACCAGAACTTCTTGGCATGTTACATTTTGAATAAAAGCAGTGAATAAGGTGAAACTGCAAGTCAACCATTGTACAAACTGTCTCTCAGGATTCCAACATTTCCACTGGAGCTTTAACGCTTTGGGACGCAACCTACGATGTTCAGCAATTGTGCAATTCAAGCTCAGGAAAAAAGTATTTGTGAAAGAACTGCCATCTGTCCATTAGCTTTCATCACAATCCAAACTATCAGAAAAATGGGAAAAATATTTTTTTTCCACTAGCATCCAATTAGTTTTCTATGACCTTGAATGCTAACAAAATGCTTTTAATTAAATGACAAGTTGAGAGAGCACAGATTAGAAAGAAAAAAAATGTTAAGAAATTTGATCCTTGTTTTTAGGACCTTGCATTTCCTTCAATAGCACTTCTGTATCATGTTGCAAGGAGCATAATTTTGGTGGGTTTTTTTTTCACAAAACCCTCACCTGCCKATTGTGACTCATTGCAATAAAAATATTATTTTTTCCACACTGCACTAGGCAACTTTCTACCCCGCTAAAGAAAGGAATTTAGTCAAGAATTATAAAAACCTGAACTATGAACTCTGGCACAGCCAGGAGCAGCCACTATGCCAGAGTGCTTAGAAAATAGGCAGCCAGGAGTAGCAACTCAACTACTCCGGAGTGCTTAGAAAATAGGCTTTAGATTTTACACCAAGAAATTGGATTTATTGTAAATGCCACAGTCACATTGATAGACAGAGCACAGACTTCTGGTAACAAACATACATTTTKGTAACTAAGCGTTTCTACTCAGTAAATAAACGCATTTCGCACAGCCTTCCTCTTAAATGTGCCTAAACTAACCTAAATAAGCAGACAGCATAGCAGAAAAGGGTAACTTATGTGAGTAACTGTTTCTTAAGCAGTATATTATTTTTACTATGTATATAATATTTTATATTATATACACACACATTTTCATCAACAGTTCAAATTATACCCGAATGAAAAAAAAAACCCAAACCAAAACTGGCGCTCCTCCAATACATTTACCACCTTTCCCTCAGGCAGACTTAATCCAGGTATTTGTCAAGATAGAGGAATGACAGTTAAAAAGACTCCCCCCACAAGAAACAAGTTACACAAAGAATACTGTATCACTACAAATTTTTTATTCAGAAGCCCATCTTTAAAAAAAATGTCATTATGAACTTGTTTGGTCAAACTACAACACTTTCTAGCAGACATACAGTAAAAATGGCATGGCTCAGAATCGACCGGATCGTTCACGATCTCTTGACCGCCTCCTGTCACGCTCACGTCCTCCTCCTCCTCCTCCACCTCCACGACCGCGATCTCTGGATCTAGACCGACGTTCACGGGACCTCGACCTGGATCTATGCCTTCAAAGAAAGTTTAAAAAACATATTATTGTTTCATCCCAGGCAGCAAGTTACTTCTAGTACCACACAATGAAACATATAATTAATTAGAGGGAGAAGAAAGGCAGTGTGTCATTAGAAGGGCTGGTTAATTGGCACTGAGGCTGCAAAAGCCAATGTGTTTTTATGAACTACACAAACTTCATACTGGGGTCACATAGAGGTACAACAATTGGCTGTTCCCTGCAGTCACCTGTTACAATGGATGTGCAAGCCCTAAGGAAAGACAGCAGAAGGGGACACCTGACTTTGGCAGACAGGAAACAGCAACACACACCAAAAGCCTCTATCTGCTTCCAAGTCCACTCATATTAAATCAATTGCATTAATTAGCARTTACAACCCAGTTCTCTCTTGTTGTTTCCCCTATATTATTTCTACCCCTCAGGACATCAGCACTGCCAAATTATCTTCCCTGCCTCTTAGGCTGATAAATTCAGGAAGGGACTAAAACCACCCAGAACATATGCTATCACAGCTACCATGAGCCACCATTACTAAGTCTGAAAGTTCCAAATTTGTAACAGTGACCAAAAGGTTAATATAAAAAGCACACTCTTCTTCATAAAGCATTTGGACATCTTAAAAATTTACTTAGCCACAAATACATGTGGCTAAGCAACACAATCTATGTTTATCAAAGTTAATTTCACCCTCACAGATTCCAAAACTATTCCAGTGCCTATTACAGATATTTACAGAGAAAACACATTCACAATGCCAAGCTCTTTCTGTGATTGAAAGAAACTGACAAAATAATGCTATATCTAACAGCAAGATCAAAAATTTTACATGCCAATCACAAATAGCAAGGTCTTACATGCCAGCAGAYTGAACCCAGCCCCAAGTCAACCATCATAGTAACAGGAGTGCTAAAATGCTCTCTATGAAGTACCTCACTAAATGAATAATTTAATATATAATAAAATGTATTTATCAAATTTTTTACCAYTAAGCAAAATTACTACTCATTCCTTCTACTGGGAATTCCTATCAAGAAGGATCACTTGTGAAGCTAAAAGTTCAATATAGCAACTGCCTGGTACTAACCACAAGAAATGAATATAGGCTACAAAATTTCACCATTAACAGTTAAAAGCAAATAAGGTTGGGTCCCGAGTGTAATTTATAGGTATGCTTGATTGCACATTATGCTGAAAGCGGCCAATACAATGCTGACAAAATGCCCACTGGCCAAGTAACCTGCATATAACAAGAGGCCATGAGCAAACACATTTTGAAAAGAATAAAACAGAAAAGGCATAAAACTTCTCCCAAGTAATGCCSATCTATACATTTTGCAGTTTGGAGATCTCAACAACAGGTCGGGCCTATGTRCTTAGTAACTCATGAGTTTTCTTCTCCTTTGAACCCTGCCTTCCACACCAACCTTCAGGACCCACAGTGCTGCAGAGCAACAAGCACTGTATTTTTAGAGCTCTATTCCTTTGTTCTGAACTGGCCACTTGCCAGCTTGACTTGATGCCCTTTGGCATGTGCCAGAAGTGCATTAGAATAAACAAGAGGACTTGGCAGGAGTTTAAAGATTTGCCTTTGGATTTTTCAGCAACTGATACTTAAATTACTTGTTTTAAGAGTGCTTAGAAACAAACTTACTTTTTACGACGCCTCCCGTACAACTCGCGTCTTAACTCTCGAGAAATGGGCTTCAAATGCATAAAGTTGCAGAAACCTCCTCGTGTACACTCTCTGRAACAGAATGCAAGAGGAAGTTATACTTCCCAGCTCTACACCATCTGCTAAACCTCTATCTATCACCTCTAATATTAAACCCAGTAAATTACAAGCATCATTTACTGACAGTGCCTCACTTCTATAACAAAATCCCCTCAAGATGGCAAAAATCAAGAGATTCACTGCATGTTATTGTTACCTGAAGTGATTTTCACTCTACATTCAGCTACATAAAACCCACCCCTAAGCAATTTCCCTGCTGTGCAAACATATCACAGGCTGTCAAGGCAAGAGGRTGCCCCTGCTTTACCCCATTTCGTATTGACGGCAACAGGCCTCTCTGAAGTCAGTCACAGGCGAGAGCTCGGCATGGATGGGCTGCCCATTAAACCAGCGATTGTTCAGGTCGATCACAGCCTTTTCTGCATCTTCTTCACGGCGAAACTACAAGCAAAATCAACATTTTCCTTACAACATAGAGAAACAACAGGAGTACACAAAAGATTCCTATCAAATCTGTTGTGTGATATCTGAGGCTCAGGGTGAGTAATGAAACTAGATGCTACTTCAGATTTCCTTGGACGGTCCATCAAAACAAGGGTAAATATGCCAGCTTTTCATTAACTGSGACTGAAGAGCTAATCAAAACATTGATTTTCCTCTTCATTCAAGTGAGAAAGTTAGTCAACAGAAGATACTGGGTTTTCTTAGTACAGCTTTAAACCAAGAGAATGCTTATGAATACTTCCTGTAGCACCAACAGTGCTGATGTAATGGATTATCTCGAACATTTAAGAGAAATTTATATAAAATCTGGAGCTCTCATTCATTTAAGTTAGAATTTACAAAAATTAGATCCTGTTTTTTGAGGAATGTAAAACTTACATTTGAAATGCCTTCTCACAGCTAATTTTTTTAAGAACACTTTTTTTTTTGGTTTATGACCTACACAATTAAGAATTTCAGGTGTGAAAACAGTTTTCAGCTGAGGGAAATATTCAAACAAATTCTCTCACACCTTCCCAACATTGTGCACACACAGTATAATTTCTTCAGCTGGGAAATTTGTACTTGTTATTCAAGAGATACCAATGACTTTTAAAAGCTAAACCCAAGTGCTCCAGTTYGCACCTTAGACTACCCAGCTACTGCCAAATATAAATTGGTTACTGATATTGTGCTTAACTGGAAAGTTAGAAAATTAATGCATCTGTACATAAACCTCTCTACTGATGTGCTTAAATAGTAGCATGATACTAAGATCCCAAATTAATCCTACCAAGCTAAATACTCCAGTAGTTGTAACTGTTTAACTATGTAAAAGAAAAAAAAGGGTTAATCTTTCTGAAAATTACACAGATTTTGACTATCAATAAAATTTCTCAAAAATTATTAAAATTTCTTTTGGATTCCTTTCATGTTTTTACTTTCTACTTTAAATTGTGAAGCAGGAGTTTATATAGTGAAGAGCTTCCCTTGCAAAATCTCCAAGCATACAGTAGCTTTTGAAATCCTAAATCAATAAATACCACCCATACTGATTACATGAACATCTTTTTATCCTACCTTTACGTATACATTTCCAACTAGATGATCTCCAAGGTTATCACAAACGTTCATCTCCTCAACTTCACCGTATTTCTCCTCCATTTCTGTGAAGACCTCCTAAGCACAAAGCAACCCAGCAGAAGATTGCAGCACATTACTTCTAATACAGAAATACTGCATTTAGCTCTAGGTAAGTATAAAAGATCTTCCTTAAAAAAAAGCAAAGTAATTTTTTCCTTTTTTTTTACATTTCTAGGTTTAAAAACAGTACTCGCTTGGCCTGTACTGTGTCCATCTGTAAGCACAGCACTACCAAGATACAATAAAAACCTATGGAAAACACGCACAGCATTTACAGAGTACACAGGATGCACTGAAAATACAATACAGAAACCCTGATGCTATAGGTTCACATACTTTGTTTCTATACAAATAATTAAGTATGCTTTAAATTTATAAAAAAGGAGATTATACAATCAAAATGCTACATCACTTAAGCTGCTGATTTCAAAGAAAGTCTGTATCAAACAGTCAAGGCCAAACTAACCAAAGGTTATACCTGGAAATATTTCACATAAAGTCAYATGCTTTATAGGCCCTAAGGAAATAAGTGTTTTTCCCTGAATCCATCCAATTGTGCCATCCGCTACATCCACTTAATTTAATGGTGGTGACAGATCCCGTAACATTTTAATGCATCTTTACATACCTCAAAGAACTCATCATAATGTTCCTGCATCTCAACATCGCTCACAGCACCTGCAAAAGTCAAAGAGTCAGATCGATTAGGGCCTGCCAATAAGGAAAAGGAGATTTTGATCATACTACAAAACAATCTAGAGWGGCCTTCTGGAGCACAAGAGACACCATATAGCATGGAGCTAACTAACAGGAATATTGCAAAATAAGGATGTGTGAAGAGCTTTTTAGTCCCCAAAGTATCTGTCAAAACATTACATTGATCAAATCAAAGCAAGTTTTTATCAGAGCCAAACTTGTAYGCCACAAATTTAAAGGGGAAAAGAATTACTCTGAAATATCACTTTGAATTTAATGAATAATCCCACTCTCTAACGGCCAACAATATTACCTAAACAGAAGGCAAGTGCTTTGTTACATTTCCATACCTTAAAATATTGTCACAATTTAGTATTCCTGTTCCTAAAGGCAGAATTTTATGTCCACCTCTCCAGCATATTCACTATAATTTGAGAGCTCACCATGTAAAACAACCCAGAAATTCTTTTAAATTTGCTCAAAATAGTCATTGAAATGACACACTTTTTTCAGTGCCCTCAATGCTTTGAATAGAGAGCCATTTTCTAGTTTGAGTGTCACTTTATTTTTCTGTAGTCCTGCAGAACACCTTTTAATGCAAGACAAGCCAGCCTCATATTTGGGTTAAGATTATTTTCATGCTACAAGCTGGACTTCARAAACGAGTGCTGCTTGCCTGCTGGTACAAAACCCAACATAAGTGTGGCTTATTTTTCAAAGCATTAGAAATATAAAAATGAGTTTCATTTATTTCTTCCAGTCTAGAACACTTTRAACAAGCTGTATACATTAAAGCCATTAAATTAGCTTTTCAGCAGTTAAGTGGTTTATTAGGATCAATAAAGCAGAGCAGTTTTACAACAAACCCTGTGTTTTATACTAGAAAAATATGCTAGTGTTTTAAAATTACAGACCATACTGGTTTAGTTCACAGAATGTGAAAGACAAGAAAYTGAGCCAATAAAGCTGAGTTTATTCACTTTCAGGCTGCTATGAAAAGATTTCTGGCTAGTATTAACACTTGGATAAACTTTATGTTTCTCTTCAAAGGCTCTAATATTAACCAGCCCCAATCTCTGGAACCGCAGTTCCTGTTCTTCCACCCAGCTCACCTCCACAAGAGGCTAGGGGGCATTTAGTTTATAGTTTAGGCTAACAGTGTTTCTGCCATTTGAGACATGTTTGCTTTTAAGAAATTTCTTCTCCCCCATGGTTATAGCAAATTAAGGAATATCAAACATTAAACCAGTAATTCTAGGCAGTTTAATACTTAACTACATTCCCAAGGTTCTGCCAACACCAGTGATAACAGCTTACTAACACCTAAGAATTTTTTTGTTTTGTTTTTAAAGGTATCAGACAGGGGCTCTGTGAGCCACACTGGGAATAACTACTTTTTACCACATGGACAAGTGCTAATTGTTTGTTTTTTTGTCAAATTAGGATTTTGTCAAATCACAGGCAACAGTAGTTAATGACTACTTCAATGACCTTCTAAAGTGGGAAGCATACATATGCACAGGCTTTACAAACATCCATATTGCAGGGCTACTGGTATCTGAACCATGAGAAGCCCAATTACTAATTAAAATAATGAGGAAAACTACTGCTGCTCCAAACTAMGGTTAATCCTCTACGACGGCAATAGAAAGGAAGACAGTTAAGCAACAATGACAAGGCATTAAATAGCTATCCAAGTTATCCACTTAAAATACATGCAATACTTAAGTAGGGACAAGTATCAAAAACCAAGGAGCCAGGAGTTTCAGCAAACCTATGGCTCGCAGAGCTCCAGCTCTACCCCAGGAGGTACAGTCAGGCTCTGGCACAGAGCTACTTGCTTGTCACGACAAACTAGAGTTGGATACCAGCATTTACAGCACTGGAGAATCTGTGCAGGACTCTTGCAGCTGTAAATCTAAACAGCTCCACAGACCAAACTGCTTTAASTGTGTGCAAATTAGTTACCAGCGGATTGAGAATTTAGGGAGAGAGTGGAAACACCCAACTGGAAATGTTTTGGTCTACTGAAACAACATTAACTACTAAGCATCTGAAAGGAGCCTACAAACCAATGGAACTGTCCAAGCATCTAGACAAAATGACACAGCTCATTTACATGTCCAGCTTGATTGTGTGACACAAACATGAATTACATAATAGAGCCATTATTACTTTTAGAAGCAAGAGACAGGGTTGACTTTTAAGTTAGTGGCTGATTTCACAAAGCACTTCTAATCAAATGCTGGTAACTAATCTGAACTAGTCTATAAACCAACAGTAAAATAAAAAAAAAGGATAGCCAAACAAAGCTTTATTACCACACAATCAATACTAACTTCAACAAGAAATATTAGTTAGAAAAGAACACCGATCTTTTTTGGTTCTATAACTTTTTTTTTAAAATCTTATTCTAATATTGATGATTCAATTACAATCATGTATCAGTAACCGCTGATCAACAATCCTGGGCATTAAYTGCTGCCAGTTTCACAGGAAGACTGTTTGCTTATGCCCATTTGTATCTCGGAGTCATAAAATTACTTCATGACCATACCCAAATGCCTTCCCCTTCTCAAAAGTACTTTGAAAAAAATACTTTTTTCTTAGGCAAATATGCCATTTGGCTTTGGAATTTGAATTTTCAAAGCATGGAAAGAATTTTAAGCATGCACCCATCCAAAAAAGGACAGCTGCCAGAAGGGAAGCGTTAGTCAGTCATGGCGTATTCTTCCAAAGTGCACTCCCTAAATGGAAGCTGCATTAACCTAGGACTAATTTATGCATGCAGTCTGAGAAGTTTCAAATTGAAGCTCTTTTAACATTTACAGAGCAGGACATTAGTTCAGGATGAAGTCAATGTGTCATTGTCCAGCTCTTTTCGACAGTGGAACCTAATGGACAGCACAAAACATAAAGAAAACCATTCCTAGGATACAGGCAACTGGCAGGGAGAAAGGTGACAAAGAAAGCAGTGCAACCAACACTGCTTCACAGGGGAAGTACAATTTCAATCCTTTTTGATTTAGTAGTTGGTATTCAGATTCCCCTCATAGTTTTGGGAGCAGGGAGGAAGGTAGTGGGACAAAAAAAGTTTTTCTTTTTTGTTTGTGTTTTGAACACAAGTAACAAAACGTGGTCAGTTTGATCTGTTAAACTAAAATGGCAGACCAGCTTAAGTCGACACTGAGCTCTGACAATCAAGCCCAGGGAACCAGTGAAGGAACTTGTATGAACTTACAGCGCAAACCGTCAGCAGACTGGGAAGAGTTTTGAGGGTTACGGTAAATGTTCAAGAGGGCAATGGTCTGAAATACAAAACGCAACAACTTTATATTATGGAAAATAATTTTAACAAGAAACTGGTTTCCTTTAGGGTCGCTTTAGCCGAGTCTGTGCTGAAAGAGAGGTGGTTATTCTCTCCCAAGCAGGAGAACTTGCACTTAGGTGGTGACCTTTCTACATCAACCTAACACTGTAAAGTAACAGAGATCTCATGATACTCCATTATCGTATTCTTAGTTTTATTCCATTCACCAATACTACTACAGAGAGATTTTGCAAAATTTCAGACAGCTCTGAAATAGGTGGAATCCAAACACAGCATTCACATTACAGGCGTAATAATTTGAATTTGGTTTCATTGAATGGTTTCTTCCAGGAAAGGAAGCAATACAATAATTAGAGCATAACATGAAATCTCCATTTTCCTAAAAAAGTTAAGATGAAAGAAAACCCAGTTTTGGGAAACTTACCGTAAATCACATATGTACCTATTTTTTTTAAATTTTTTTTTTTGTGTGTTAAATCAAGAATTTGAGAAACGTCTGCAGTTTAACCCTTTCAAAAGAATGCAGTGTTACTAAGCAACCAAATTTCACTTTGCAACACAAAAGGGAATCTGCATCAAGTCAAGTTTATGCAGTCACTTCTGCACTTAGAATTGCACACGTTCCACAAATTCTTGATCTGTGCGCAAGAAGAGTTCCGTCACTTGTCCTGTTTGCAACAGCTTTATGTCAGCAGCTCAGAAGCCAACATTATTTTCTCGTAATTAGGAGTGGGCTCTTTAACACCATTCTTTAAAAAAATTTCTCCAACTGTGGGACTTACAGTGTGAGCCGTCAGCCGTCTGTGCACTGTTTTGGGGGTTACGATAGATGTTTTGAATCAAGATGGTCTGCGGGGAAAAAAAATAAAAAGGGGAATTCTACTGGCTGCTGTGCATATAATAGACAATTGCAAAGAGACAACTTGTTTGCAAACAGCTAAAAGTCATATTTTATCCTTAAGACTTCCTTTTGTATTTGCAGAGTATCTTCCAAAATTGCATCCAGACCATCATATTATGAAAACAGTTTTAATTAACCACCAAGAAAGAGCTGCGTTTGTCTCAATAGCTATCCACAAAATGGGAGGTGTGAGGCACAGTAACCTAAAACAGCACATGAGATCTTCTGGAGATGCCTAAACTTTCGAGATCAGATTCACTATTGCAAGTCTAAGTGGGGGAAAAAATAGTGTTACGTGCACAGCATGTAATACATAATGCCACAGTGTCCAAAATGCTACACCAGACCATAAGGCCTTTAGGCAACAGCTACATCTTGTTTTGTGCATCAGGAATTTCTTGGTGGAATTTCTGTTTAAATAATATAATAGCATTATMGGTTCACATGTTTCCGATCCTTCAAATAAGGACAATATCCTTTTAGCCCTTCTGCTTTTTACTTGAAGAATTAGCCCAGGCAGACTTGAAACCTTACATTTGTACCGTTCTTCTTAAAATCAAGTTGTCTGAAAAAACAAACCATGTTTAAGTTAGTAAACTAATATTACAAAAAAATTCCAAACGTCCATATCACTGTAAGCAGCTCAAAAACTGAAATTTGATTACTTAAAATATAAGCTCAATGTTAGTCAGTATAAACTGCAATCCCAAAGTAACTTTAGCTTAGATATTATTATTATTAGTCACAGTAAGAATTCAGAGCTTAAAGTCACAGGACCAGCAATGTCATACCTACATATGCTACCCATTTAACATGTAAAGAAAATACAGCTGAAAGAGCACATTTAAAATCACACACTTGTTTTATTATGGGTCTAGTCATACCAACCAAAGCTTTGTGCTTCCATGGCCCAGGTTTAAACTACCTATGCTTTAGCCTACAACTGGAGAGTGCCAGAAACATGCATCTAATTAGGGTGTTCCTGCTGATTGGGGGTAATTTGATCACCCTGGACTGTGTGACCTTTCCTAACACAGCTCTTCTGTAAAGTAGCTGCAGCAGCAAGTGTTGCACAAGGTTGTGCTGGTAACTTCCCATTAGCAAGATCTCTGTTGTTCTATTTTCTATCACAGCTGATTGTCAATCTGCACACAAATAAAGATTTCTGCAGACCCTACACACTGCCAGGTACCTCAGAGATGTTACAGAACAGCTGCCAGGTACAAGGCTGTGCAGACCCAGACATCCGTGGACAAATGGGACCTGCCCTGCTGACCCACTTCAGCTGGCATTGCTAACCAAGAGTCGAAAGCAAAGCTAAAGTCTGCACTGACAGAAAAAGCTGTATGTGTACACAAAGTTTTATTGGTTAAAAAAAAAAAAGATGTAAGGGTGGTTTTTGGTTTTTTTTTTTGCTAGGCTTTTGGGGTTTTTTTTAGCTTAAAAAGACTACTAATGTGGAAGCTGTCTGCTTTAGAAATATTTTTTAGTAGCCAATGACCTAAATTCAGGTCTCTAAATAATCAACTGCACTTCAACATGAGCTCCATGTAGGTCAGCAACACAGAATAGTTTTGATAATGGACAATGCTCATTTTGAAATAAAATATCTGCAGTAAAAATTGTTAAAATTGCCAGAAGCAGTTTTTGTAGCTGAAGTACCAGAAGGCCCTATCCATCAATAACCTTGACATTCTCCCACTGACAGAAGTCCCCCACCCACTCAATTGAACTTGATTATAGTTTTGAACTTGTCACATCRACAGTATTCGCCTCCCTAATTTCTCCCCAAACCAACATAAGCCCACATTTCTCATAAACTCTGCTCCAAAGCAGATTGAATGAACTTGCAGAAGACTCTGTTATGTGAACTTTATCTCTGTCATTAAAACCACCGCAGTTAAAACTGCTGAAGTTAAAAATGCATTAACTTTCAAAGCCTCTATTGCTCACGTACAAAATTCCCAAAAAAATTCATCTGTGTTCCTTGACAATCAGCATTGATAGAAAGAGGGCAAACACATTTCCCCAGAAATGTAATCTGTGAATACTACACAGCTCATAATAATGAAAACCCTGTCACTCCCTGCATCTTTTAAAGTTTATTTTTATTTCTGGCAGACATGCAGTCACACATGATGTCTCTAACAATATTCACTGAGCCAAAGATTAAATAATCTGTCATATCAATTGATAATTCACTCTCAGCAACCAGGCAACTTATTTCCTATAAACTATTTTTTCCACATTCAAAGGAAGTATGCAAGTCACTCTTAAAGCTTAAGAGCCTGGGTCAGAGAGCAAATGTAATGATAGATGAGTCACTTCTATACATAAATTATTTTCTTCTGTTATATGCATAAAAGATTAAAGTTCCCACCTTTGGACAGGTGGAATGCGCTGCCATTGTCTGTGATTTAAAACATCTGGGATGGTTTAAGTGCCTGAACACCACTGAGAAGGCACACTCACCTGAAAGTTAGCACTGGTTGGTCTCTACTACAGGCAAGCTTACAACAGCATCACTTCCTGCAGCCATTAAGGGTGACAGGAGATAATTAGAAATGCTGGGAGAAGTAAATGGAATACCCCCAAAAAAGCAAAGACCCAGATAAACTGGGGGCAAAAYTGAACTAATTAATTTGGAGCTTGATAATTATTCACTTGTATCTGAGAATCTATGTTTTAAAGAAGCCAGACTATACTTCCACAAGAAAGAGAAAAAAGGGAAACAAACCTGGCTAAATGTTGGTTTGTTGTGCAACCGAGAACATCTGTCTCCATGGCGACAAGCTCCAATTTTGAAATAAAATGAGCAGTTGACTCTGCAAGAAAAAAATTAATAATGTAGTTACATATTGGAATAGAAAACATTAATTTTCAAAAAAGCATATACCCTAAATGTCTTTATCTTGATGTGGAGAAGTAACACAGAAAAAAAAAAAAAAAAAAAAACAAACCAAAAAAACCCATACCAAAACTGTACAGGAAAGCATTACAACAAACCTGTCCATATTCATTCCTTTTACCCCTAATTTACAGCCAATATCTGACCAATTTTCCCCAAAGTGGTTTCATGATCCACGACACAKAAGTGACCTGTTTTACTCTTCTGCTTCTCCATTCTTGTCTTTACATCGCTTTCAGTGGGTGATGGGATGGAAAATAACGAGAAAAACGGTCTGAAACTTTACACTGGGAGCTCTGTGGCTGAGTTCATGCAGCCCCTGGTCCAGGCAATAAAACCTGCTTTAAAGCTGACACAGTTGCACCTCTCTCCTGTTTTATAAACCACCTGTTTAAGTTATACTCTATGGGTAACTCAGGCTGCTGCCAACACAGTATTGAAAATGATTCAGTATTGAAAATGATTCAGGGAAGAGAAAAATCATGTTACAGAGAGAACACACATAAGCAAAATAAATTCACTTAATTAAGCCATTTCCATGAATAAAGTTAACTATTTTAAGACTAAGCTTTATTTTTTTTTTAAACCACAAGCTTTTCTTGAATGATTCATCTCATGACACCTTGAAAATGATCCTGATTTAGAAATGCTACTAAAACTCTCACAAAAAGGTGTAATTCACATAGAATGATGAAAGAAAACCACAAGGAGTTTAGTTACCTTGACGGGGAAATGCAAATTTCTGAAGGGCAATAAAACTATTATGGGCTATATATGGGTAAGTGAAATATTAGAATTCTCCTGGAAGAAAGATTAATATTCCCATAATTAACACCAATTCTTTCCACAATCCTCTGTAACCAACATTAACTTRCGGAGGGGAGAATTATTAAAGTACTAAAAGCACATCTGATCTCTAGCAAAGCATTTTACTACAAAATTGCAACATGCTCACTTTTCATAATGTTTTTTAAAACAAACACTTAGCATTATGAAATACTTACTGTCTTTTCTGAACTCTAACCTGAAATAAAAAGAAATACCTAACTACAAAATTTCCAATAGTGCTTCCAACTTCAGCACCTTCTGGAAGGTTCCATCTGCTTTTTTAACAGAAAACAAGAGCTGCACAGGAATTTCATGCCTGAATAAAACTCTGAAACTGTAATGCATTAAATTCCTATGTATCTCCTTTGTGTGAAAGGATGCTACAGTAACAGAGCTCAAAAGAGAGGCTGCCGACATTGCTYTCCTGGAATGGCAGCACTACAGAGCAGAGCAGAAGCCCCACGGCCAGGGGCTGACAAGAGTAATTTAGTCCAGCAGCATATCGATGCCCCCTTTTCATTTTTACGAGTGGAAAAACACGCCGGTTTGGTCAGGCCGATGGTGACCAAATTTTCGTTAGGAGGGTTTTGTGTGTGTGCTTCCAACAACCAGAGAAACTAGAGGCGTTCCCGGACGCGTGGAAGGCTGCAGGCAGAAGCCTGTAGGATCAGGATGCAGCAGTCGGGGAAATCCTCCGCACCCTGGGGAGGGGGGAGAAATAACCAGTCGCTGTCCTTGCAGCAGAGCKGGAGCTCTCAGGCTGCTGCGAGGCTCAGGGACACGAACAAAAGGGGAACAGGAGGAGGAGGAGGCGCTTTCTGGCAGGAGGCGGCGGGAAGCTCCGGCACCCAGCGGCCCCGACAGGAAGGCGCAGCCGCGGGGGGAAGGGGGGAGGGCGGAGGGAGGA